GCACAATGGCTTCCAGCTCCTCCTGCTTGCCGCCCATGCTGCGTGCATTGGTGTAGATGCACTTGAGCTGGGCTATCGATTTCGCCCCCGGCATCGGCATGCCACCCCTGCCGAAAACACCCCAAACTGTTCCTACTCTCCTCCTATACCTGTTCCTACTTTCACTACCTCCTTCCTAATTCCTTTGGTATCGTATGTTTAACAGTGCTGTAGTTTTTTAGGTTTTTTTGTTATAATTTTAAGACATGTCATTACAATTGTAACTGTAACCTAATCCTCTGTGAGAGGTGTCTTCAAGTGTTCGAATATTGTTGGCTGAAAAATCCGAAAACTGCATCATGGTAGCCAGAGCCTTGACTAGCCTTCATCTAGTCTACTTGATCATGCGTAGGCAGTCTTATTTGTGTGCAAGTGTAGGAACATTGTGTGTGCTGTATACTAAGTACTGTACTCAGACCTGATGTGGCCCCAACTCTTATGAACTTCCACACAGGGAGAGATTGTTGTAAATGCAACACTCTTAAAGCAGATTTCTTTACTTTGGTTGAATTCTCTGCACTACTCCAGAATTCCTCCTCTTTGTCAGCCGTGCCATGACAGCACACAGTTGGCCGCGGCAGGTCTCTTGGCTACAGCTTAGGCAGTGCTTCACTCGAGCTGTACTCTCTTCTGAAGGACAGAGCGGCACAGATGTATGTTAACTCTTTTCTTCGTAAATCACTTTCCAAACCACCTCTTAGCCATTTCATGGCAACCCTTATCCTCATCTCTTTTGATATACTCTTCCTTCTGCTCTACTTACCTCCCATCGTTCTCATTTCTTATTTTGAGTTAGTAAGTCCTCTCCGAAGCATTGATGCGATAACAGAATGTGTCTTAGTGACATCTGAGTATTTAATATTTTATGTATTTAAGTGGATTTTTTTTTCCAAAATGTGGCCTGACTACTGATACATAGCTATACAAGGCCCAACAAAAGGCATACTGATCTTGTTGGTCCATAGGCACCCCAATAATACCCACAGTTAATGGCAGATTACAGAAGAGCCCACACCTGTCCAGTGCATCAGTAGGATAACCTCTTCCTTCTTGGCCACAGTAGCAACCGTAAGACTCAAATTCCTCTGGGCATCGCTCAGTTAAACAGAACAGCATTTCTCCTAGCTGGGGCAGCTCCCTCTTCACTCTTCCATTTCCTGTCTCTTGCAGAAAGGTTAATCGCTCACATACTATAAAGCAAAAAATATTATTTGACACATCATGTTTTCACTGGTTGGGGGCTCTCTCATGTTGACAGAAGTATTTTCAGAACTATCAGAAACTTGTAAAGACAACATTTTACTGTTTCTAAATCATTGCTTCAGTCCATGAACTATGGCGCTTAGAATACTACTGAGCAAACAGCAGAAGTGGGGGGGAAATATTTAAGGGGAAGAGAGCTCCCTAGGAAGATGTAAATTACAAATCATATTGGATTGCAATGAGAGTACGTTGGAATCCTTTGTAATTCTTCATAGTTAAATTTTTCTTCTAGAATATTCAAACCTATCTGAGTATTCAGTAGCTTCTGTCTTGGCTAATTCAGAAAATAGAGTCCTAACCTCTTGTGCTTGCACAGTGATAGCTGGGCAATGACTATGCTGTGCTGCAAGAAACAATAACTTTTTCTTTTCATTTGAAATACCTTCCACCTAGTATTAAAGATCTACTAGGACTAAGATGTACATGGTTCCTTCATGGTATGCTTACAAAAATTGTCCCGATAAAGCTTGGCTACCGTCACAGAGCAATCCGTAATAAGGTTGCTTTCCCAAAGGAAAGATTCTGGATTTTCACTTCAAAGAAAATTGTTTCCTGATATTACAAACCAGGGAAGACCATCTTGGATTATCACATTCACGCTTTTTAACTGTCATTCAATTAGAGCTATGATGCCTCTATCCCAAATGCAGGAGCAATCTGTCATAATGGTTACTGTGCTGCCAAGGTCTTGGCATGTCCATGTCCCAATCGTAATGCCTCTGTGGCTTCACCCACTTAGGAAGAACTGATATTGTGGGAATTATCCCTAAGATTTGAGAGCAGAGTGTGTTCCATGTCAGGAAAAATGATGTCAAGGGGGCCTTTTTTGGGACCTTGCCAGGGAAAGGACTTGAAGGAGCTGATGGTTGGACTGGGGGAGAGAGAGGGCGGGCTTCTGTTCCCTATGCATCCTCCTTGCTCCCACCTTCCCTTCTGCAGCTCTAGACTGACTCTCCCTGCTTCTTCCAGGGACAACCCTGGATTACTTCCCCCAGTAAAAAATTCTGCCCATGTGCCTGCTTGGGTCTTTGCTCACTCATGTTAATTCACCAAGAACAAACCCCAGGTTCATGCACTCACGTACACTCTCTAAAAGCTGATATTTTACGATCAAATTTTCCAGTTTGACAGAAGGCTGGGTTGATTCTTCATTTCTGCTTTGTTCCAGCCCTGGGACTGCTTCTCTCCATTGGGAAGCCTTACAAGATGGATGGGACAGTCCATGAGTGTGGATTTACAGCAGAGACAGGTCTGAAATGTCTTGGGATCAATGTGAAATCTGGGCAGGAGTTGGAACAGAATCAGAAATGGTGAGAAAAAGGCTGACTCTGGCAAGACTTTGGCAAGAGGTCGGAGTGAGGAGCAGGGGAAGTTCCTTCTATTGCATCTGCTGCTTGTAAAATAAAGTAACTCAAAGACGTGATTAAATTACTGCCTAAAAACAAAAGCAAGGGGAAACATTCACTGAGCTCATTTTAGATCTTGTACGGTACGAAAAGTGTACTTAAAACCTAATCATAAATAGTGTTTGTAAGTGTTAATGATAGCACATTGGTGGAAGAGGTTAAACTGTTGGAAGATTTTCCAGGTGACTACATCTCCTGTTCTTATAAATACCAATACATACGTGCTTGACTAACTGGTTTAGAATAACTATAATCTTTATATGTAATATACACCTACCTTTTAATATCGAGGTAGTTGAATATTTCATTAGCTAAAACTGGGAAAAAACTCTTCATTTACCTTTTCCTGCAGGTTCATTGGGACCCTTATCAGACAGTACCAGATCCAGAGCTATTCCAGAGGAAGCTGTGCTGTGGCCACCCCTTGCAGGGCTTGTCTCTGCAGATGACATATGCATAGATTAGACTTGCAAAGGTAGAATAAACTCTTCTTTCAGTGATGTGTCCAAAAGTGCATATTCTGAACCATAATCAGTTGGCAGTCTTCTAACATTTGCTTAATTCATAGTTGGAAGACTGTTCATTAATGGTTAGTTAAGCTTTCCTATCAGTGTTTGACAGTGAACTGCCCTTTCCAGTGCAGTCAGTGTTGTGCACACTGTATTCTATGTAATCTATCCAGATTTAAGGAGAAAATAGTGTTATTCTACATATCTATGAGAAACGCTGAAACCTCAGACAACTGTGGACAGGAATATGGGAGTGCTGTAAGTTAGAATAGGTGTAATTCAGTTTTTACTTGCCTTTTTCCTTTGTCCTTGCAGATGTGCCTGCAGGAATCTTCTCAGTGGGGACAATTTTGACTTGCATTGAGTTGGTATCTCCTGGGAAGGAGGCTGGGGAGGTGGTTCTCTCTTCCACTGGGACCACAGCTTCCATAAATCCATCCTCTTCTGAATAAGCAGAAAGAGGAAAGCGGAAGAAGACATGGAGCAATAAACAGCAAGATTTTCTGCCCCATCCCTGGAAACATTCCAGGTCAGGTTGGAGTGGGCTCTGAGCAGCCTGATCTAGTTGAAGATGTCCCTGCCCACGGCAGGGGGGTTGGACTAGATAACCCATAGAGGTCACTTCCAACCCAAACTATTCTATGAGTCTATGATTCTATGATTTTCATTTTAGATAGCAGTTCAGAATAATATCCTCAGGCAGAACTCGTGTGAACTGATGGTCGTAGAGAAAAAAAAACTCAAAATGAAGATTGGAAAGGCAAAGAGTACCCACATTGGTCACTTCTTCACATTTCTTGCTTTTCAGAAAACAAGGTGCTGGTTAAATAGGACCAGTATAACTACTGATTTTTTTTTTATTTTATTTTATATGTTGCATACTGAGGTAAAGAGTTGTGCCAGTTGCTGAAAATCATATGGGTTACTGATCAGTCAGCCATACTGAGAGATAAAGTGCGGGTGAGATGTCATTTTCTGAGTAATTTGCTAAAAAAAAAAAAGTGTCCATTCACATGAGGGTACCAAAACTGATAGCAACATTAGGGAAGGTAGAAGATTATTTGACTGATGCAGAGCTGGGCAACGGAAGGATTTACTTCATTGTAACCACAAGCCAATATTAAGTGGAAAATAAGTTGAGGATGAATAGAAACATAATTTTAAGGAGATTCTTTATCCTAAAAATTAAATTGGTATTTATTTTTAGATTATCTG